GCTAGCATAACAAAGAGTCTCTGTAATGAAAATGTAACTTATGCTACTATAATGGTGTGTTAATTACCTGTGCAAGTGTACATCTAAAACACTCCAATGTCATAACTTCCTGGTCTTGTTTGGACTTCCCAGTGTAGAACTTCTGAGTGGTCTCCTCTCTAAGGCCTCACCAGGTTTGTTCCTCCTTAGCTTTTCACCAGCAACCACGGTCAGCTAGTTAAAAGTGAATCCGCTTTCCGAGAGAGGAGGCACACCAGGGTGCTAGAAGGTTCTGGGGATAAATCTCCACCAGGACAGCGTTCCAGAACTGGGATGCTCAGCCCACCACTGGCCAGAGGTTAAAGCCTAAGTGGTCTACCTGGAAGAGGCCATCCTCAAAAGTTTTTAGGGATTTCCCTGCCACCCAGCTCTCCAGCAGCCACTTTCACTGCATCACAGGCTGATGTCACAAAGCGTCTCCATGCAAGCGTCATCCTCTCCAAGAAAGACCTTTCAGGGCTCTAGGGCACCTAGGAGGACCCAGTTCCTGAGCTTGGTGCCCACCCATGTCGGTGGTGAAGTCTATTGAGCTGGTGATACCAAAGGAGGTGTACGTGGCTGGCTCCACCGTGGTCGGGCAGCTGATTCTCAGCCTTCACAGCACGCTGGTGGACCCTCTACTGAAGGTGGAACTGATTGGGAGAGGCTACCTGGAGTGGACAGAGGAAGCCAACATGGAGAAGGACTACATCCAGCCTGGCAGCTGCGTGAACAAGGCGGACTATGTTCACAAGACGAAAACCTTCAAGATCGAACGTGAGGCTGCTTAACTGGGATTACCACGAGGCAGTTAAGCAGAAAGGGGGCTGGAGTAGGGTCCTCACGGGGACAGATTGATAATGTTTTTAACCAACCACAGTACACCCCCGCCCCCCCGGGTCCCAGATCTCAACTGCAAGCAATCAGATGACCATTAGATGGCAGCAAAGGGTTTGGGTATCCCTTTGTCCCCACCTGTTGGAGGACTGGAGCTCTGCAAGGCAGATCCATTAGCCTTACACCCTCCAGCTTCGTGGACTCCAGCTCCCAGGATTCTCACCAATGGCTTTCTTGCCTGGGGAGTTCTGGGAGTTGAAGTCCATTCCTCTGGAGGTCCCCAGACTGGGAGAGGCAGAACCACGTCTGGATCTTGATTTCCCCCACCACTTGCTATCCAACTTTTGTTGAGGGCACAGACTGAGTTGCTCAGGCAGGGTTTAAACCTCATGGTTTACCCCAAGCCATGATTTCCTTACCGTGACTTATTGGTTGGGTTCACGCATCATGTCAAGCCAGGAAACTTAGTTTAAAAGCTGTGGCTAGGTTCTTATGAAACAGTAAAGTTTTCGCTTTTCAAACACATGGCCAATTCAGAGTTTTGCAGACAGCTGGAATTGAACTCCGTTGACTTTTTTGACCGCCCCCCATCACAATGCCCCACTGGCTTCAATGCCCTGAAAGAGGGATTCAACCAAAGTCCTTCAGAGAGTTTCTGCAGCTGAGGAGGGACGAGAACCCGGATCTCCCCCTCCTAATCGAGCCTCTTCCCCACTACACTTGACTGGCTCTTGGGCTGAGAGGGAGGGACTGGCCCAGAGTCAGCCAATGAGCCTCTGTGCCTGAAGAGAGACTAGAACTGGGGTCTTCCCACTCCTGGTCCAGCCCTTCCCCACTATCTCGGATTGGTTCTTGGGTTGAGAGGGAGGGACTGGCCCAAAATCAGCCAATGAGCTTCTGTGGCTGTAGAGGGGCTAGAACCCAGGTCTCCCTGCTCCTAATCCAGCACCTTCTCCACCTGCTCTTGGTTGGGAGAGGAGGACTGTACCACATTCCTCACCCTGGGGGGGTCTAGAGACCCAAACTTGGGTCTCCCCCTCCTAGTCCAACACCACTCCACCACAATGGACCTGGAATCACCAAAAAGAGCACACAAAGGTGTTATATAAGCTCAGAAGGCATTTCCCCCATCTCCCACGCAGGCAGGGAAGGGCCTGGTTCCTGTCCCGAAGCTGCTCCACGCCCACTCTCTCAAGAAATAAGCCGTAACGTCTCTTATCTCCATGATTTATGATGTTTCCTGTTGTTTAAGAGCCTAAGAGCGCATTATAATAATTATATATTTCCTGCTATGTAAACTTGTCTGACCGTTTAGTGGCTTTCTCTGCCGCTGCGCCCATTTATGCAATCTCCTCCCTAGGCTTGGAGGCTAAGCAGGGTCGAGTCTGGTCATGCAGGGATGGATGGGAGACCACTAGGAAAGGTCTGGGTTCTAGGCTAGGCTGGGAAGGGAAGGCTTCTCAGAAGACGCTCGTGGCAAACCGCTCCCATACTGGAGAAAACTACAGGGCTGTGTCCGTGAAGTCCCCCGGAGCTGGCCTGAATTCGTGGGAGACTAAATTGAAAACCTGCAGCTTACGGAAGTATTTACCCAATTCTTCTTCTGCCAGTGTTTGGAATTATTGCAATCTATCAGCTCAGCCTTTTGCAACAAGGTGCCCTCCAGATATACTGCAATTCATTTCTCCTAATTCCCCTCATTCTGGTTGGGAGTATAAGACCCCACCTATGAGAAGGCATTGTTTAGAAAAAGCCTCTTTTATTTCACCCTCTGCCTTTTTTAAAAGATTCATTTTCTTTTCTCCTGCTCACTCACGTGGCATTCCTGCCTTGTTTGAAAACAGCAGGTCACCTGGGGGATCTTTCTGAAGTGAAAGGAGCTCCTTCGAAGCTGTTGGAAAATAAAACCAAATGAATTTCTTTTGCTCCCTGCTTTCTACAAGCAAAGCAGGGAAAAGGAGATTTTTTCTTCTCGGCTTGCAGGGGGCTGGCTGGGCCCGGGTGTGCACACATTCGACTTCGACTTTGTCTTACCTCCCAGTATCCCATCCACTTTCACCAGCCGAGTCGGGCGAATTTCCTACTTCCTCCAAGCTCTTTGTGCTACAAGGGAGCTCATCCTTGGCAAGCAGAAGAAGTATATCCTGGTTCAAGGGATCTCCCTCCACAGACAGGACACGGTGGAGTCCAAGGTACTTTCTACTTTAAAGTACAACAGCCTTCCTTGAACTGGGGGGCCCAGATATACTGGGACTGCCACACACCAGCATGGAGCTCGCAACCTTAACATATCTGGAGCATCCCCAGGTTGGGGAAGACTGACCTAGAAGTCTCTAAGGCAGTGTTTCTCAACGTTGGCAACTTTAAGATGGGTGGACTTCAACTCCCAGAATTCCCCAGTCAGCATGCTTTAAGATGGGTGGACTTCAACTCCCAGCATGCTGGCTGGGGAATTCTGGGAGTTGAAGCCCACCCATCTTAAAGCTGCCGTGGTTGAGAAACACTGCTCTAAGGGAACATCTTCACAGGCCTACACACACTCCGCTGATTCTCCATAGTTCCCACAACCTCCCAAAATCCCCAAAAAAGATGGATTGGATCAGAGTGCTGTCTTTTTCAAAAGATCCAAGCAGGAGAGAACTAACTGTAGGCAAAGGGAAGGGGTAGAGCCTTGAAGTGGCATTGTGATCTGTGCCGTGAAAGATGTGCAAGTGAAGGCCACACTTTTTTGCACTCCTCCAAAAAATCTCCTGCAAATGTTATAGACGCAAAGTCAGCTGCATTGCAGCTTGTCCTGTGTCGTCAGGTTTCTCTTGGAAGGGAAACAGATAAAAAGGCACTCCAGGATATAAGAACTTCTAATGAGTAGATTTATTGTAGAAATGCTAAGAAGCCATTATGAAAAAAATTCCAGTGACTGCTATGTATTAAATATGAGCCCTGTTTATAGTGAAATCAAAATTTAACATTCTCCTCCTTCTTCTCCTTCTCCTTCTCCTTCTCCTTCTCCTTCTCCTTCTCCTTCTCCTCCAAGTGATGCAACAAACCTGATACTGCTCTCTTTTGGTGAGAGGGACAATTTCCATGTGTCTCTTGTTTTAGTAACTGACAACTCTGTTATTGGACTGCTTAGTCTCCCAAAAGCTGTGCTGTATACTTGTAGGCCGGCCAGCCTGCCCTCCTTCCTTCCCTCCCTCCCTGGTTCACACATCAGTTAAACCAATGTTTCTCATCCTTATCAACTTCACGATGTGTGGACTTCAACTCCCAGAATTCCCCAGCCAACTCCAATTCTGGGAGTTGAAGTCCACACATCTTAAAGTTGTTGTGGTTGAGAAACACTTATCTAGACTGTATTACAAATGAAACCAATTATGTTCAAACCCAATTATGAGCATATCATAAAGTAACAAATATGTAATATACATGCTTCTTTATTAATCCATTAAATCCATAACAAGCGAAACTAAATTTCAGTTAGAGGTTAGTGAAAATAGAGTTTTCATTTTTTTTCCCCATCCTAGTTCACAGATCCCCTGAAATCTATTCATGGTCTCCAACAGGGTTTTGTGAACCCCAGGTTAAAACCCCTGGCTTAAAGAACCTACATGGTTTTGCTTTCTCACTCCCCATTATATCCTCCAAAGATACCTGCGAGGTAGGAAGGTCCAGGTAGGAGAGAAGAGAATTGCCCCAAGGATACCTAATGATTTTCATGGCTGAGTTGCAAGAGATGGACCCTCCCTAAGGAGGTCTTGGTCCATTCTTCCCAACCTAGGTTCTTCAGAGGTCTCAGACCCTAACTCAGACCACATGATGACTGCAGGTGGTACCTCAACCCTTCTAATTTGATTCTCGTCCAGTTCTCATAAGCCTCCTTCAATGTGTCTTCTCTCCTTCCCACATTTTTTTCAGTACCCCTTGACGGTAGAAGTCCAGAAGGTTGTTTCTTACAACTGTTGTGTCAGGAGCGCCCCCATCACCTTGCGCATGTCGCTGAGCAAGAGCATCTACATGCCGGGCGACAACATCAACTTCACGACAGACATCACCAACCTGACAGGGAAGTCCATCCGGAAGGTGGTCTTCACCCTCCACTCGGTGGTCCTGTACAAAGCTTTCAACTTCCGGGCCGAGAGACGGACGTTGGAGCAACACGAAGAAATGATGCGGCTGGAGTCGAACATTGAAAGAGGGCCCTGTGAGTTCACCAAGATTCACAGCACCCTCTGCTTACCCAAAGTGATGCCAGTCACCAGCAGTCACAAATCGGATGACATTATGGAGATTGGCTACGAGCTGATGGGGATTGTCCACTTCCCCTGGTGCCTCCACACCGTGATGGCCAAGATCCCCATCGTCATAAGAAACGAAGCCACAGACTTTCCACAATAAATGAGGGTTTCCTCATTTCTGCGTTTCCCTCTCCCCCCACCCCTCCTTTTTATCCAGATAGGTTCATATAGTTTTCCAAAGGGATCAAGTTCTCCATCCCCGTATGTGGGAGGAATCCTGATTAATTAAACGTTTGGTCTACGTTTCTGTTTCCAAGACTCACTTTTCCTTTAGCTTGATTTTATATGGCCTCTTTTTTTTTAAAACAGACATATATACGCATCTATCACACAATTCCCCTTTGGAACAAGCAACGTTATGCACAGTGTGAAGGAGAATAAGAAACAGTAAGCAGAAGAAATCCAGAGGAGGAGAAAGGAACAGGACATGGTCACCAAAATGGCCCAGAGATATTGATTTTTGTAGCCCATCATAACTTAGGTCAACAAGGCTTGCCCGTAACTCTTTTTAATAAGATAGAAAAATTGGAGACTCGTTCACCAGCCTTAGTTATACCAATGTACATGCAGTATTTCCTGCTGACGGGAAGGACAGAATTGGTCTGTTTTGGGACATTTGGACCACTGTCACAGAAGCGCAACCAAACCCAGTTTTATCCCAAGAACGCTCACCTTGTTCTATGCAAGCTTGGATTTTTAATTTAGAGCAGTGTTTCTCAACCTTGGCCCCTTGAAGAGGTCTGGACTTCAACTCCCAGAATTCCCCAGCCATCTATGCTGGGTGGGGAATTCTGGGAGTTGGAGTCCACACCTCTTCAAGTTGCTGAGGTTGAGAAACACTGCTCTAGAACATCTGCCTTCCCTCCATCTGCTAGATCCTAGCAGGACAGGCTTCCTTTGACCTACTTCCAGAGATCCCTAGCACGTTGGTGTAGGCTTGAAATTTCAGGTTGTTCCACCTGAGTTTTCACAACCTCCACCCCGTGTTGCTCTCTGATTGGGCAAGCCAGACTAAGATAACTCTTGGTCTGGCTTCGCTTCGCCTACTCCTCATATGCTTAAAAATTCCCTGGGTAAACAAGGCACATTTGCCCAGGACTGTGTCAACAAGCTGGAGCAACCATCATCCGTTGACAAGACCAGGTAAAATGTGACGGGGATGGGCTGATTCTGGCTGTGTTTTCTTGCGTGCCTATAAAGTTTCAGCAACTTTTGCACGCAAGAGTCCCCGGAATGGTTTAAAAGAGATGATGGAGGCAACTTGTGAAAATTGGGCCTTGGATATTATCCAATAGAATAAATGTACCATGTTCAGAAAAGGGCATCTAAGAGGACAAGGTGCAAGTAGACTTAGATCAAGGATAGACTCTCCAACTTGACTTCTGCTAGGGCACTAGAATTGTTTAGAGGGTGAAATGGCATTTTGAGGAACGGAGCTACGATGGTTGGACTCTCCAGGGGCAGATCAAAGATCCTGCCGTTTGGAAAGTCTCTAAAGTCTGGTTTTTTTCTTTTTTAATTTAAAAATACATATATTTTAAACACTTAAAAATATCGCCCGTGGACCTGTCCTGTTTTTTTCCCCCCCTCCTTTTCCTATAGCAGAGTTCTCCAAAGTGGTCAACGTTGACCCTCAAGGGTGGGTGGGACTACCAAGGGGTTGATGTTGCTGTTGTTGTTATTCGTAGTACTATTAGTTAAAGTAGTATTTATTAAATTATTTTCATGTAACAAAAGTTTGGGGGCCAATGAACAATCTGAAACTTCATGAAGGGGTGGATGAGTTGAAGAGTTTGGGGACCTCTGCCTTAGAGCAAAGGTGGGGAGCCCAAGACTTATCCACACAGATAAGTCCCTGAGTCCCATTTGCAGCTTCCCAGCTTAGAGGAATGAAGGCAAGATGCAGGACGCAGTTGTAGTTTTACCCCCCTCCTCCTTTGTCAGCCCTTCGAGGTAGTCCAGACAAGAAGTCCAAACCATGAGTACTAACACTACCTTTATTGTAAACAGAACAGAATCTTGCAAGTCTGAAAGCACTTCTCCCCTCCCTTATTTTTTACTTTCTAGAAAGCTAGGGAGGATCCCTTCTGAGATGCTTCCCACGTCCCCTCTCTTTCTGGGGGCTGGTTGTCCCGTCTGCAGTTCTTCCTCCTGTCTCCCAAGGTCGTTCCCACAGCCTGCTACGTCCTTGCACAACTTTTTAAGAGAGAAAGGAAAGGTGCTAATGCTGCTTGCAAGGAGCAAGAGTGGGAAATAGGGGGATCTTATGTTTCTATAACCTGCTGGATCAAGTGTCTGTTGGTGATTACAGCGGCGTACAAATTTGGTAAATAAATAAACGCCGAGCCATAAAAGAAGGAGCCAAGTTTCATCTGACCAAGTTTAGCTTGTGTGAATGTAGCCAAGGAGAACTGCAGGGAGTATCTTTCCCAGGGCAGTGGCAAGGTCCAACACAATCAGGAGTGTCTGCAGGGTTTGGTCCAAAAAGTCAAAATGGTGGCTGTGATGGTGCAACACACACCAGAGGAAGATTTGCACTAAAGAATAAGGCCCCCATCTTGACTTTTTGACCAAACCTTTCAGATGCCGCTGGACACAATATTTGTCTGTGAGGATGGAGCAAATTTGTTTTCTGTTGTTTGGGGCAGAAGATCCCAAGGTCGCATGTTGCAAGGAGAGGAAAGGAGATCTTTGATTAAGGATTAGCCAAAGCTTTTTCCTGATGGTGCAAATTCTGCAGGACAAATGAGTTTCTGAATTCACGAGAGGTTTTAAAGGGTCTAACAAGGGCATCTGGGGTTGGCCGGGGTTGGACTCGACAGCCGCAGATCTGGAACCATCCAACCAATACAGAAAGATCTACCCCAGCACCTAATTCCTAATCTTTTTAAAACCTGATGATGGAAAGGCTTGAACTATGATCAGATTTCTCTCCCAGGATGACATCTCCTGAAACTGAGATTTGATCATCATTCATTTTCCTGCTACGGAAGCTGCTATACCACCTTCCAGAAGCTGCATAATGTAGAAACAAAAGGTCCACAAAGTTTAAACCAAGGGTATATAAGACACATTCTCTCAACACTCATTAAACCCCCCTGGGGTGGATGGCTGAAGGAATGTTCATTATTTATTTATTTATATTTCAAGTGTGGTCACTGCTGATCTCACCAGGAAGTGACTCTGGGCCGTCTACAATAAAAACAAAACATAAACATGAATTGAAATACGGTAAAAATAGTATAAAAATACAGTAGAAATACAGTAGAAACAATGTTGGAGGATAAGCTGTATTCTGAACCTTAGACAATTGCCCGACTAGCTTGGTGATGGGCTGGGAAATAGAAAACACAGGTTACCGGTTACTACCTGTCTCGACGTACCATGATCATCACCATTAATCGTCATTCCAGTAATTAACCAGCACAAAGAAAATCAAGTGGGACCTATAACTAGACTAGCAGGATGAAAATGAATAAAGAGGTTACGTACAAGGAATTTGAACTAAAAAAAAGTATTAGGAATAGAAACATTAAGACTGTTTGACATGGAGCTCCAGGGATGACGTGGAGTCGGTGGAATCTGATGGCCATGAAGGTTGTTGCGCCCTAGACGCAGCCTACGGAGAAGGGGGTTTCTACGCCGGTTGCCACAATAGCTGGAGAAGGGTAAAATAAGTTCCCAAGTCAGAATCGTCTAAGATTAAACTTAAAAAATGAAGCAAACGACAAACCTAGACAGCATATTAAAAAGCAGAGATGTCACCCGGCCGACAAAGATCCGCATAGTCAAAGCTATGGTTTTCCCAGTAGTAATGTATG